GTTATAAAAAGGAGAGCATCAGTGTCTACAATGGGTGTGTCAGTCTGCAGAGGTCCAAATCATTAGCTACAAGAAGGGAGCCATCTTATTCAAACCGGCAGCGCCACTGAAATGGCCATCCATCCTTCATATATAAATACAGCAGCAGGCTGGTTGCCATTGAAAGCAGGGGCAAAACAACAAGAAAAACAAACCCCACGAGTCAGAGATGCTTCCCAGAGGAAGGTTGGAGTAGGGGCATCTGCTCAAACACTGCGCAGGTGTGCTCCTCGGCTGCCTTTCTCTTCTAGTGCTGGTCACCGTCGGAAAGACTCTTTGCAGCCTCAAGCCCAAATGAAGACTGTCAGGAGTCCATGCTAAGCTAGTCCATGCCATTTTCATGGGATCCTGGGGTGGGGTTGATTCTGTTCTTTCCCACAGCCCTAGACTTTTGATTTTTGGGAAATGAAGATTGTATGACCACAGGTCTCAGCTGCAGGGGAGACTTGGCTGTCCCCATGTATATGATGAATGCAGTGTGGGTCACTAACAATCTCTTTAATTCTCTCTCTCTCTCTCTCTCTCTCTCTCTCTCTCTGTGTGTGTGTGTGTGTGTGTGCATGTGTGCATGGATAATGTAAGACAATTCATTTTCCCTTGTAGGTGCTTACAGACTACTGGTTACCTTTGTCTGAGCCACAGAGAACAGAAGAACCATAGTTAAAACAAAAGTCTTACATTTATTTAGCAGGTATGGGGAGCCTGATTGTGAAACTGGCATTTAAGGACAGTGTTATGGTGTTGGACTAAAACCCTCAGCTTCTGGCTTGTTATTACCAGGGTATTTCCTTCACCTTCTTTAGCTATTTAACAAAACCAAAGATTGGTTCCAAACAAAGACTAGCCTAGCAGGGACAGGGGATTCAGTTAGTGGTAGTTTGCTCAAGACCTTGAGTTGGTACCCCAGCTCCTTCCGTAAAGTAAAAATGAATTGAGATCATAAAATATACTTGCTGCCTACAATAGAAGAAATAAATTAACAGTGGAAAGCTAGTGTGGAAGTCCTCAAACACCTGCAAGCTACACAAGAATACATTTACTGAATTGAGGGGGAGAAATCCAAGTTAAAGAAAGTGAACTTAAAAGAAAAATGTCAGCATTTATTGTGCATAGCTGACACATCTCAAAAATGGGGATTCTAATCCTAAGTGTGTAAGTTAAGACAAATGAAAAGCACAAATCAGTAGTATAAGCTCTTACTCAATGAGCCTAGAAAAAGAAAAGTAAATTAGCCGCTAACATATAGAAGAAAAGAAGTCAATGAAGGACAAAACAGAAGGTGATAGGGTTTTGCTAATTTTTATTAGAAAAGCAAAGAGTTGTTTCTTGGAAAAGACTGGCAAAGCTGACAGACTGAGCAACACAGAGGAACAGGAAGGAGACAAAATAGGAGACATTACTATGAACTATGTGGACAATGAGAGATATCCAGGAAATGGCATAATTCTTCATGCAAACTGGGCAACTTCAGTGAAATAGACAGCTAGACAACTTCCTGGAAAAGCACAAATCGCATAACCTACCCAGCATAAGACAGAGTTTTAAAGCCTCATAATGATGAAGAGCATTGGGATTTTACTAACTCCTCCACCCTGAAGAAATCTCCATACCTGATGAGTTCACTGTAGAACCAGCTATTTAAATGGGACCAGCTATTTAAATAAGAGATGGCATAATTTCTGCAAATCTCTTCATGAATATAAAGGAAAGGAAATAGCCAACAGCTTCTTATATGGAGTGAGTAATATCCTGATGCTAAAACTAAACAAAAAAAATATAAAAAGAAAATTAACAATCAACGTCTCTACTAAATACAGGCAAAAGTCCCTTAAGAAAAGTTTAGTAAGTGGAAATCCATAATATATAAAAAGTTATATATCATGACCAAATGGGATTTGTTTCTTAGCTGCAAAGCTAATTTAATATTGAAAATCAATTAATGTAATTCACCTTTTTAAATGATTAAAGGAGAAACCCCTCATGATCATATTAACCTATAGAGTAAAGGTACAATTCAACACCAATGTATGACTGAAAACTCCCAAAAGAGGCCTCGAAAGATGGCCGAGTGGTTAAGAGTACTTGCTATTCTTGTGAAGGATCAAAGTTACATTTACAGTATTCACATCAGGTGGCTCACGAATTCACAAATGTAACTCTAGCTCCAGGGGGATCCAATGCCCTCTCCTGGCCTCTACAGGCACCTGTATAAATAGACCAGCCTCCCAAACACACCCCTTCCCACCCTAGCCATAGTAAATACAAATCTGAAAAAAAAAAAAAACCCTCAGAAAAGTAAGAACAGTGGAAAGAGATTCGGCTTGGTAAAGATCATTTGTAGAAGCACACACCTGACTCTGTCTGTGTTTGATGGTGCAAGACTCAGCACCTCCCTGTGGCTGGAAACACAGCGGAGGTATCTGTCACCACCCATAGCTAACATGGCCCTGGAACTCCGTGCCAGTTTAATAAGGCAAGAAAAGTAAATAAAAATCATATCAACCAGAAAGAGTCAAAACTTCCCTCTCCTTCATGAGACACCATCATGTTTTATAGAAATTTCTGAGGAATTTGCAAGAAATTACTTAGTGAGTTAATCAAGGTAGAGCGTGAGGAAAACAAAGAAAAATATTAGTTGTGTTCCTCTGGTCTAGTCATGGACAAATGGGCACCAAAGTTAAAATATAGTAACATTTATCGTTGCAGAAAAAAAGATAGATTTAAGTATACCAATACAGAGTACTACATACTTATAATTCTAGCACTTGGAAGATAGATGTGAGAAGCTTAATTTGAGGCCTTCCTGAGCAACATGAGTGCTTGTTTAAGAAAAGGAAGAAAAGAAGGAAGAAAGTGAGGAATTGAACTAAACAGGTACAGAGTATCTCTGCTACCAAACCCATAATGCCAGTGAAGGAAACAATGAAGACTTAAATAAATAGAGGAAACATAATATGTTTATGAAGGGGAAGATTAAGTATTGTAAAGACACCAATTTTCTCCAAGTGTATACAAAAGATTAATATGGTCCTTATCAAAATTCCAGCAATATTTTAACTAATGTACCATTTGTCTAAAATTGACAAGGAAAGGCAAAGGGACTAAAATAATCAAAAATTTCTATTGAAAAACAAAGTGGAGGAATCAGTTTTTTGTTTCAGTACCTTACTATGCAACTGCAATAATTAAGATTCATTAGAACTGTCGAAGGGATCTACAGATAGAAAACCATAGCGGTAGAAACCCTGAAAGTGGACCCACAAAAATGTGCGCCTGACGCTTTGACACAATTGCAAAGGTTATCAGCAGAGGAAGACAGTGCTAAACGACTGGACATCCTGAGGCAAACTGCACTGTGACCTGAGTTTCAAGCCTTAGACAAAAATTAACTTGAAGTGGATTATGGACTTAAGTGTAAAATTACAACCCTTTCCAAAGAAGATGTAGAGGGGCTTTCAAAGATTTAGAATGAGGCAAATGTTTCTTAGATTTGATACCCGACATATGATCTGTAAAAGGAAAACATCACTAGACAGAATGAAGATGGAAACATACTTGGGGAAAGACTGCTAGAGACTGAACTACAAACCACTTATAAAATGATGACTTAAGGCAATTTATATATCCTCCCTGATCTTAGCAGCAGCACCTTCCCAAACAACCCTGTTAAAAAACAGATATGAAGCATCATTTCATTGAAGAGATTATGCATATTAAATATAAGTGCATGCAAAGATAATCGGGATGGAGGGAAATCATCAGGCATTGGGGATGCTAATTATAACCAGAATGAGAAAAGGTGACAATGTCTAATACAAGCAAGAAAGTAGAGAAACTGAGTCCGAGGTTGCTGGTAAAATGGTCAAGTGGTACAGCTGATCTGGAAAAACAGCTGAACAACTTTTTTTTAAACTAAACATCGGGCTAGAGAGATGGCTCAGTGGTTAAGGACATCTGTTATTCTTACAGAGGACCCAGACTCAAAACCATCTGTAACTCTACTTCTAGAGTCTTCAGTGCCCTCTTTCTGGCTTCCACAGGCCCCAGCCTTGTGCATGGTGCACTTACATACATACAAACAAACTAACCATACACATAAAGCAAAATACACAAATCTAAAACAATAAAAATGTAAAGTAAACATGTCACTACCAACGATCAGCAGTTGAGTTCTTGGACATTTCTGCCCAGAGGGATGAAGGTTTATATTCCCACAAACACCTTTGTACAAATGACCGTGCCATTCATAACAGCCTGAAGCTAATGCAATTTACATGCATTTTGAAGAGTGAGTTATTAGGAACAATGTGATAAACCATATCATAGTATACTACTTGGCAATAAATAAAAAGTGGAAAAGCATTTATGGATGCAATAACCTAGATGAATTCCTGAGAACTATATTGAAGTTGAAAAATTTAATCTTCAAAAAATCCAATAATGTGTGATTCTATATATGTAACACTCTTCAAATGTAAATGAAAGAAAAGGAGAACAAAAACTGCTAGCGGTTAGGAAGAGGGCAGAACGGGGAAGAAATCAGTGGCTGTGACAGTTTACAGTGTCCCTTGTTTCCTACTGTGTCTTCGTGCTTCACCCTGATAGTGTGCATTCTGCTCCTGCATAGGCTACCTAAGAATAAACATCCCTTAATAGTCAAACCAACTTGTGATGCTGGTTGGTCTTTCTTCAAGGCACAGCGAGTCCCACACCTTCATCGCCAACATAACAGTGGGGCTCTTGTGAGCCCCACAAAGGGTTGTGTTCCCAAAGGGAGCCTGCTTCCTTTGTGAAAGTGTGGGGAGGAAAGTGATATGGTGTTAATCAATACACCCAGTGATAAATGTTTATCTTGAGCAGAGAGCAAATAAAGGCGGGTTAGCAAGACCTTTATTGCCTGCTGTGGAGTCAGATCCACCTACAGCAGCTGGAGTCTTTTCTAGGTCACGTAGCAGAAAAGTTGAACAACCATTTCTAAAAATGTTTTTTTGCTGAAGTGCTAGGGCATAGAGGAAAAGCTTGGCCAGCATTAGTTTTGAATATCGATGTACTCTAAAATTCTCAAGAACGGCATACATCTCTCTCAAAAGCCTAAGTTCATAACTGGAAAACTATTTTAAGATAAGCCCCAGTGTAGTCACAAGCATAGACTGAAAGAGTGTGGAGGCATTGTTTGGGGTTATTAGGAGTTAAAACTAGCCTGAGAGTCTTAGAGAATGTTTTCCTGTCTATACCTTCTGGGGTTCTCCAACTTTCTAGGGGTCCTCTGGAGGACAAGTCGAAACATGATTTGTTAGTCCCTGCTTCTTGAATACCTAGCCCAGTTAAGGTTCTTGGGTTGGGAGCCAAGAATTTGAAGTATCTGTGGCAAGTTCCCAGCTGCCACTGTTCCCGGTCAAAAGACCTGGGAGAACCTGTGTTGGAAGCCAAGGTCTCTGGTTCCAGGCCACCCCGTTAGATGACCTTGTACCAGAGAGCACATAGTTGTTCCAGAGGAGTATAGTTGTTGGCTCTTTTATTTTTCCGAGCCGAGGAGAATTTCCAGATGGGTGGGAGTGTGATTCAGTATTAGACAGCAGCTGGAGCAGTCCTAAAAAGCCAGAGAGCAAAGATGCAACACCAGGCAGAGTTGCCTTGAGCTAAAGAGACAGCCGGGCTGTCACAGAAGAACGAAGCCGTGACTTGTGAGGCTGCTTGAAATCTTCGTTTTGAGAATCTTTTCAAATTTTCAAGTTTATCAAGAAAGCTAAAGCATTTTCTTGACCATTTAGGTAAGTAAATCCTACTTAAAAATTGCTTTTATGTATTTATGTAGGTAGGTAGATGCACACACTTGCGTGTGCAGAGGTCAGAGGACAACTTGAACGAACCAACTCCCCATGGGTCTCAGGGACCAGACTCAGGCAGGTGCTCAAGGCTACTTGAAATGAAAACTCCTTTGCACATGGAGTCATTTTGCTGGCCCTCTATATTAGCCTCAGACACAAGAAGTGGGAAGGGAACCAATGAGGAAGGCGGCGGCTTCCCAGGACTCAGTTAACATGGCCGAGTGGAGATGGATTCTGGGAGCGTTTTACTCCTCACATGATGACACATCCTACCAAAAGATTCACCGCTACCTCCTGTCCCCACAAGCGGGGGTCCTGGAATAATGAAGGGACTTCCAGGCTGAGAGAGGATTGTTGAGCAGAGCTAGCTCTCCTCAACAGTCAGAGAGCCCTGAATGAGATGTGACCATCCTTAGAGGCGAGATTCAGTGTCAGCTGCAGGAGATCCGTGGGAAGCAGCCTGGAGGGCGGGGTAGACTGGAGATCGAGGGTAGATTGCTTAGAAAGTACTTTTGAGATGAGTGGCTGCGGCTGCGGAGGATGGGGAAGGTGGAGGAAGCGGAACTTGGCAGAGGGTGCACTGAGTTGTACTGTAGCTCATAAAAGGCAGTCATGAAGGCCTCTGAGGTTGCCCGGAGGTGGTGTGGTGCTGGTGGTGAGAGCTTTGTCCTCACTGCCCTATGTGTTTGAAATCCTGGGTACAAGGATGTATTAGTTACTCTTCCACTGTGAGGAAGCGTTGGATGGAATCAGCAGAGAGGAGGAAAGCAGCCCTTTGGCTTATAGTTTCAGAGTTCCTGTTCTTATTATAAGGAGAGTGGTTGGGATTGGCAGAAGGAGTGTGGCAAAGGCAGGTCACATGGCAATGGACCAGGACGCTGAGAGAACTCCAGAGTCGGGGGCAGAAATAACCTTCAGAGTCTTGCCTCTGGTCACCCTCCTCTGCCAGCTATGCCCCACCTTCTCAAGATGCCACAACCTTCAGATTAACACCAGCAGATGGGGAGCAGATCTTCAAAGTGTGGGCTTACAAGGGAACATTTGAGATTTAAACCTCAACACGGGGCTGCAGGGATGAGAGGCGCAGCCTTGGTGATGCTGTCTCTGTTTCCAGGGCAAATAAAATGATCTCTCTCAGAATCCCACCATGATGAAGGGATCCAGCATAGACTGATTTCTCATGGCTCAAAATCCTTTATTCCGAATTACAACTGATCTCACATTTAATCCCTGTCCTGGAATTAGAGAGCGAAAAGCAAAAGGAAATTCCTTTCAGTTTAGGGAAGAGAGCCAATAATCCTTACCAAAATTAAATGAGGTAAGGATATCCACAGGAATTACCACAAAAAGAGGCTGTTTGTCTTTCCAGAAATCCATTTGCTTTTACCTACTATAACAATGAATCCCTAGATGCAGGTTCTTGGTTATTGATATACACTACATTTCCCAGTATCCTTTGAATATGGTCATGTAACTAGAGTCTGGCCAATAAGATCTAAAGGAAAGAGTTAGTTGATAATTGTAAATCCTTCTTTGAAAGATCATTGGTCTGAGCTGGGCACAGTGGTTTCTGACAGTAATCTCAGTAGAGGTTGAAGGATAAGTAGAGGGAGAAGGAACAGAGAGATCAAGATCAGCCTGTGATATGTGCTGACAGTATAGTTCAAACAAACAAACAAACAAAGAAGTAAATGCCATACGTTGTTGTCTGCTTGGCTACTGCCATCTTGGATGATAAAGAAAGAACCAAATCATGGAAACAGCCGATAAGTTAGTGAGCTGAAAGGGACCGTGAAGAATATGTGGGGCAGAGACCGAATGCTCGTGAGGGGATAACAAACTGCTTTCTCACTTAGGTTAACAGTTTTAGATCTCTGTTACTTACAGTTAAACTCGGTCCTAAGTAGCACAAATGCATGGTATTTGACCATTCGTTGTGTATGTGTGTGTGTATGTGTGTGTGTGTGTGTGTGTGTGTGTATGTGTGTGTGTGTGTGTGTGTGTGTGTATGTATGTGTGTGTGTGTGTGTGTGTGTGTGTTTATTTTGGGACAGAAGAATGACTTACTCCAAAAGTACATAGCCTTCTCACACACAGACCACAGGCGATCCTTATTCACTACTTGAGAGATCATTTTCTTCCCCAGGCTTTTGGATAGCAACATTAAATATCTATTTCAAAAAAAAAATGCCCTGTATAGTTTGGAATTCAGAAGCAGCAATGCATCATTTAGATGTTAATTACATTTAAATCAGTGGCACGATGAGCAAAGCACCTGTTGGGAGTATGTGCAAAATATGTGGGCATTCGTCTACAAGAATTATTAATTTTACATTTTCCATCTGGAACCCATAAAAGAGCCATTTTCTGAGATACTAAAGATCCAAGGTCATGCAAAAACATCATATTTGTAGTGAAGATCAAGGTCTGGTGAAGTTTGGAATCAGGAGTGACCTGGTCCTGACAATTCTGAAAAGACAATATTACACCCTATTCTCTCATTTGCACAAAAGCATTGCCATGGTTAAAGCTATGTGTGGATAGAAATTCAAAACAGCATTATGATGCCTTAAAGCCATTTGGAAAATGACTGGTTTCAGAGAGTGGTATTTAATCTGCATATTTTTTTTTTATCAGTACCTGCTAACTGGCTCTCCTTTATTAGCAAACCAAATGTCAAAAGATACAAATGTAAATTAGTTGTGATTACTCTGAGTGGTCAAATACTTAGCAATTTAATATTGGCATCACACTGACCTGGTGGACAAGAAGTACTTAGGTAAAAGAAAAACGGAGAAAACAAAAGCAAAAGCTTAAGTGTTAAGACAATTTCAAAACACAGGAAGATAAAGAGAATAGAAGTTAACTTAGCTTGTTTGGACCTTATCAGGGTAGTTTCCATATTCAGGTCACCTTTTTAGTGCTGTCTTCCCTTCCTGGATGCTGAATGCTGTCTTTTCCAGCAGCCCACACCTGTGACTCTTTCTTACACAGCAGAAAGATCCAGAAATGTCTGGGAGTTATGCATACCCTAAGAGGGTCTTGCAGCCTGTCACCTAAGGGGTTCAGAGGAGACATGAACTCTACATCATAATGGAAGAAACTGATGTACCTCAGTACCTACTTCTGCAGCTTGATCAGCATGAAGCCACTGTCCTATTACCTTTTCCTGAGACATCCCCATTCCAATCTTCTCTTCTTTTCCATCTTCCTGACCTGCTTATGGCTTATGGCTTGCCGTAACACCCTCCTGCATCAAGGTCTGTCTGGGCGAACTGGGCACATTAGTTCTGTAATTTTAGACAAGTGATTTCTCCCTCTCTGTGTTCTCGTCTGAAAACTCCAGGCAACTACTGCCCTCCATTCCTGGGGTTGTCCTGAGGTTTAGACAGGGCAAAATAGTTCAGCACTCACTTTTCTGTGGGTCCTGCACACACACAGGATAAAATACGTATCACACAATGTCTGAGTTGCATTTAGAGTACAGTCAGTGTTATTCAAAGGGTGCTGGTGAGGTTAGGAGCAAAGCGTGGGGGCAGAGGAGCTCTTGTTTTCTGTACATCTTTTTCCTTTACAGGCGCATCTAGAACAACTTGCTGTTGATCAAAAGTCTGCTTGTGGTTCAGTTTGGTTTGCTTTTGTTTTTCAGTGTGATGAAGCCCATGGCCTTACAAATGCTAGGCATGTACTCAGCCCTGGGCTACCTCTACTGCCCCTTGTCTGCCTTTCATTGTGTCTCACTGTGAATTCTTTTTTTTTTTTTTTTAGAAAGCAATTTTATTAAATTATAAAAGTTTCCATTTCCGCCCCTCCTCCCAACACCCTCCCACTCCCCCCACTCCCTCTCCTCCTCCCTCTCCATCCCTAAGAGCAGTCAGGGTTTCCTGCCCTGTGGGAAGTTCAAGTTCCTTCAAGTTCCTCCCCCCTCCCTCTAGGTCCACGAAGGTGAGTGTCCAGACAGACTGGATCCGCAAAATCCAGTATATGCAGAGGAAACAAGTCCCAGTGTCATTGTCAATGGCTTTTCAGAAAGACTCTGGCCAGCCACATTCAGAGAATCTGGCCACATTCAGAGAATCTGGTGGGATCGCGTCCTCGTTCAGTCCCAGTCCAACTGGCCTTGGTAAACTCTCATTAGATCCGTCCCCTTGTATCAGTGGGTGATCACATCCCTCGCAGTCCTTATTTCCTTTTTCATTTTCTTCATCCTTCTTCACTGTGAATTCTTTAGTCAGAGAGACGTCACTCAATGGGTCCTAGAGTTCCTTACATGTTTTAGTTTTAGGTATGAAAATTTGAATTCAGCACAATGCCAGGCCCGGGGAAACCAAAACAGCTGTCACACTATATTGTTTTTGCTTGTAATTACATCTTCCTGTCTAAGCACAACTGCCCTAAAGCAGAAATTCAGCAAGATTATGGCCAAGTACTCATGAATGAACATGTGTGATGTGTTGTTGTTTTTCTTTAGAAGAGTACTCACAGATCTAAAGGTAAGTAAACATGTCATCAAGGATATCTACACCCCTCCCCCCTAAATGTGACTGTGCTACATGACGTGGCCAAGGGTTACAGTGTGATGGAATTAAGGTTGCTAGGAAACTCACTCACAGAGGTGATCTCGGACAATCTAGATAGGCCCCTTGTAACGAAAAAAACCCTTATACATAGAGGAGAGGCAGTTCAGAGGTAGATATGACTCTGGAAACAGAGTGAGGAGGAATGAAATGTTCATCACCCCTCTTGGGCTTTGAATGTGGAAGAATGTAGTTGTACCAAAAAGTTCCACAGTAATCTGAATGGAATATAACAGTGGTTTATTTATTTGGGGATAAATTCATAGTAAGGGTAATGATCTGCAGTCCTTTGCATGCATTAGGAACTGGAACTGAATCCAGCAGTAAAAAGGGGCTGTGGCACACTTTCGTCTGCACTTATAGTAC